TAGTACAGGTTCTGTGTAGGGAAGCACCTAGAAGGCACATACAGAGTCATGAAAAGTATGGATATTATTGTAAACTATAAAATTTCAGAGTTGATTTGTTAGTGCTAGTAGAGAGAAAACCTTTAGATAGTACTTGTTTTGGATTTATGTGTACAGTTAATTGAAGCCTTAATTTTTTTAACCAAATGTAAATTGTTTTCACTGGACTATAAATGTTTTCACTGATATTCACGTATTCCTTCTATGCAATGACAGTAATCAGATTTTCTATAAATCCTAATATACATTATACTTTTTTAGTAAGTAAAAAACATGCATATATATAGATATACATATAGATGACATAGGTTCATATTTGCCTCAAATATACATCCTAAAGTTTAAAAATTGATAGTGGGAGCAAAAGTATGAATAATACAGCATACTAGATTTTAACATTGTTGAGTTACCTCTTTCATAAATTTTCCAGAATTAAATTGTTATAAAAATTATGTGAATCATGATTTTTACTTTATTTTGGAAAACAATGAGAAAAATTCTCTTTATTTGTTCACCCAATTAGTGCACTTTTGTTTTTTTCATGAGAATTTACTATAATTTGTCATGATTACTTCAATATAAAGACAATGATTTCTGACAGCTCTAATATTTCTTTTGTTCTCTAACAACACATTGACTTCCCCTTGGAGACCCTTAATGAACCCTATTCTCAGGATCGCAGTCTCTCTTATCACAGTTGCTGAACTGAAGGTTAGCATCCTGAACATACAATAACCCACACTCTATTCTCAATTTCCTCCTCAGCCTGTCATTTTCTAATTACTTTCCTTCGTTCACTTTCTATGAATGAAATCATGTATTAATTCTATTTTAATGATTCAGAATAAAATTCAATATGTGGTAATGAATATTAATAAAATGCAAATTTAGGGCAGAATGACTTGCTTTTTCATAATTATTGTTTTTTGTGATTATAATGAAAATCAGGACCCACACATCATATGTAAATGATATTTTATGACTATTTTTAGTGGTGGTTGATGCTAAACTACCTGAAATTGGTCAATATTCAAGGACTTAAGGAACAGCAAACAAGTCAGACTTTATATATTCATGTATGGAATTCTTTAGAATTTTGATGTGGAGTGAGCTTGGCAATATTTTGTTAAGACATAAGGATGTGAGGTCCTACAATATGAGAGTCTAATTGGAAGTAAGTGAGTTTAAAGTGTCTGTGGTATTGTATTCCCACAAATATTGTGCATGCTAATAAACTTATCTGGGGTCAGAGACAGAGCAGCCACAATATTAAACATAAAGGATAGGCAGTGGTAGCACACACCTTTAATCCTAGCATTCTAGAGGCAGAAATCCATGTGTTCAAGGATACAGACAGGCATGGTGACTCATCACGCCTTAAATCCCAGAAAGCGAGCCTTTAATCCCAGGGAGTGGTAGTAGAAAGCAGAAAGGTATATAAGGTGTGAGGACCAGAAACAAGAAGCATTTTGGCCTGGTTAAGCATTTGGCTGGTTAAGCTTTCAGGCTTCTAGCAGCAATTCAGCTGAGACCCATTCTGGATGAGGACTCAGAGGCTTCCAGTCTGAGGTAACGAGACCAGCTGAGGATGAGGTGAGCTAGCTGTGACTTGTTCTGGTTCTCTGATCTTCCAGTTCACCCCAATACCTGGCTCAGGTTTGATTTTATTAATATGACTCTTTAACATTCCTGCTACAGGTGTTAGTATATTTCAAGAATGTGTTGAATAGATAAGTATGTATATGTATATACATATACAAATATATAGTGGGTATATATCATATATAAATATGCACACACATATAGTCATGCTGTAAGATTCTTGACTTTCCTCCCTTATTTTTACCAAAAACTGAAGTTATAGATATAGTTTATTTTCTGGCATCATAAATAACTCAATATATTCATTAGAAAAAGTAATTATTTTGGATGACCAGCTTGAATTAAGGTATTACAGGAACTGTAGCAACTATAGAACTTGTTTTTCCAACAAAGACGATTTCATGGAACAACCTACGTGAAGCTCATTTTCTATAAAAATCATTTCAACTGAATATTTTGCTCTAAAGGATATATATTTCTAATAATTCCTGGCTGAAATTATGTGCCTGTAGAATCCAGCATTTCCTAGTGGTAAATGCCACTTCACAATTTTCTGGGAATAATGATTAATACATGGATGCTGAAACAGGTTAAGATGTTAGTTACTAAGTGTTATTAATAATAATCTTATATTTTAAAATTAAAGAAATATTAATAAAGTAAGGAATTTCTGTTAATTTTCCATACAAAATAAAAGAGTCAACATTTCTGTTTCAAGAGATAATATTTAAAATCGTTAATTTAAGTCTGTTGAATATAGTGCAACTTAGGTAAATTAAGTCAACTGAAAAGTAGTCACATAGAGTGAGAAACCATGAAACACTCAGCCCTAAACTGGATGTCTCCATCAAACCCCTCCATAGGGCTCAGGGCACCCTTCAGGAGATGAAGCAGAAAGAGTATAAGACACAGAGGGAATGGTGGACACCAAGAGAACACAGCCTTCTAAATAAACGTGATCAATGCACCTATGAACTCAAACAGAATGAGGCAGCATGCAGAGGGCCTGCATGGTTCTGCCCCAGATGGGGCCCTGGAGCCCACAGGAGAAGTGGACACGTGTCCCCACCTCTAATCCTGCAGCACTTTCCAATTGTTACTCACTTGTGAATGAAAATTTAGTTTTCTCCCAAGAAGTCTCATGGTGGAAGCAAACTACTCCTCAAGATAGGCTGCATACCCAGCAATAGATGGCCAGCAGAAAATGAGTCAATGGCATCTTTACAGGTTCCTTGTTTCATGGTGTCATGTCAGCACTTTTCCAACTTTTTAAAAATGATCTATCCGTCCATATTATAATGCATTTTAATTATATAAAGATAACATGTAAAATTACCTATCTCTATATATTTATATGTGTGTTTATGTGTATGTGTAATTTTTCTTTCTTTTACCCTGAAGGTCCTCTTTGCATATATCATTGCTTTCAGTTTAGGGCTTTTATGGGATTCTTGCTTGTGCCAGCGAGTGACTATCTGTTTCTTGAGCCTAAACATGTTGAACACTAAGACACTGTTAGCAAACAAGCCAGAAAAATACAAAACCTTAAAAAGTATAAAACTCTTTCACTGTAGCTCAAGAGATGGCTCATGATTAAGGAAGCTGGATATTCTTTCTGAAGACCTGCATTCCATTCTCAGCAGCCCACAGGGTACCTTATTCCCATATATAACTCTGATTCTCAGAGATCTGAGACTCTCTTCCACCTCTGCTGGGTACCATGGTGCATGTGATGCATAGACATAAATGTAGAGAAAACACTCATACAAGTAAAATAAATTAAAACAAATAATAAAAGGTTTTGTACATTAATATGTATTTATATGTTGTGAATTAACCAAGAAATACATTGTGATTCCATTAACTAAATCTCTATTTGAAGCTTTATTTCATGCTCTGCTGTAAAATTCTTTTGTTTTTTTCAGAAAAATTAATTATAAAATTTCATTTCCATGTCTTAAAATATATAAATAGCATTTTTACTTGATAACTGGATAAAAATTAGGCACAAATAAAATATTGTACACAGTTTCTTAGCATAAGTCTGCCTCAACAGAGATTAATTAAGGTTTCTAAGTTAATACAGATAAAATTGAATTTTAAGGAATATAAATTGGATTTTGATAACTTAGTTTATACATTTACTATCAAAGACTTGTTTTTAACCTCTTTTTCAATGCTGTTGCTCTTCCTATCTACTTTCTGAATAAAATAAAATTCTTTAAAATGATAACTAATTGATAATAATGAAATAGGAGTAGGCATAATTGTAAAGATATGAAATTTAAAAACATGTATATTTAAAATTTTTCAGTGACTACATAGTATTATAGTCCAATATTTTGTGTAGAGGAGGGACATTGTATAAGTAAAGAGAGAAATGTGCTAACAAATCCCATGATTTCATATCTGTTTTTTGAAATATATTAACTTTATGATTTTAGGAAAGCCAATTTTTGTGTTTTGGCTTTATTGATATAAAATGAGGATTGAAATGATAAGATATTTGTTAAGATAAACTGAATTTTGTGGATAGTTTTTGGAGTATTGATGTAGATAGTTCTAGATCATACCACTGTATTTGAGCTGCTAATGGGGACATGTTAAGCCGGTTTCATCTGCTCTGATAATTCAAGGCAAGGTATATCATCACAAGAAAGTCAGCATTATATTTTTTGAAATCTGTGAAATACAGAGTGAGTCCAGGAAAAAAAACCACAATAACAAAAATACATTTTCAAGCATTATAGTATACCAGAAATGCAGTTAAGGAATGAGAGAATTGAGAAGCAACAGTTATCAAATGAGGCTAGTACTCAACTAAGCTTGATTCTGCAGATGTTGGCTTTGTGAGGGAAATAAGCAAGAAGGGTGAGCAAAGAAATCCCCATTTCTATGATAATGTGCTTGACAACCACAAATATTTTAAAGCAGGTAGGGAATAAATGCTTTTATAATGTAAAATTAAGAAACAAGAGATGAATAGCATATTGATGAAGCAATCATTTCTGTGCAACCTGAAAACTAAGAATTCAGAAAGGAGGTAAGTTAGAGAAAGATATTCCCATGCAGATTACAGAGAATAGATTGTCTGAAAGACCGACCAAAAAGTCTGAAGATGACTTATTATATAGGGTAGAAAGTGGTAGCATCTAATATCATGTCCTTTCATGGAAGTTGTATCATCCTTCAGAAAACACAAGAAATTATCAGCAATACAGTGAGAGGAGAAGACATGTATCTGGGCTTGACTTTGCTAAGCCTTCCCCGAAGGAGAAAACCATCCTGTGATACCATCAAGATATGCAATGGCTGCGTTAATCACAGTTGCTTTTACTGCAATGAAAACACCAGACAGCTTTTCTGAAGAAGGATCTGTTTTATTAATGAATCAGACGGTTTGAGTCAGTTATGAGTAGGAAAGGGTGGAGCATCAGCTGAGTCCACTGCAGTAGACCAGGAAGCAAAATGTGCAAGGCAGGAAGGAAGCAGGAGCCTCTCTCAACCTTCCGTGGCCTGACCAAGTGAACCACTTCTGCTAGCTATGTCCCAATTCCTAAAGGTTCCTTGATTCCAAAAATTCCACCAGTTGGAGAACAAATATCCAAACCATGATCCTGTGGAGGACATTTCAAATTCAAATCATAACACAGAATAAAAAGATTAAAGGCGCATTGCAGAGGAGAACTTAAAGATGTTGAAGTCCTATATGACATGAAAATCAGAAACAAAAAATAAGAACAGTATATGGAGAGTATAATGGAGCACAAAAATGGGGAGAAGAATGGAACTCGTCACCATAACTAGAAGTAACTTAATATCTGAGTTTAGAACTCATGGTCTCTTAAAGAAGTCAGTTGATCTACCATTTCCAAGATGCTGTAGCATGTATGAAACTAGTTTCTCCTCAAGCTAATGACATGTTGCTGATCTTGTGTCAGAGCAATATCAGTGGGAACACTGGTTTATCTATAACCAGTCCTTCTGGAAACCATAAAGAAAAGTGGCATTTCTCATTTGATTCCCATTAGATATACAGAACTAGCTTGCTTCTATGATGTCTAACATATGAAAGTCATTCCTGAATAATACATTTGAATTACAAAATTAGTTAAAAAAGAATATTAGAGGATATTGAGAGAATATATTTTGGTGATTGCTACCTTATTTAGATTATTTTCTTGACCATCCTAAAGAACACATTTAAATACATTTACAAGTTACTGAAATGTTGGTAAGTATATCTCAAACATACTTTAGTTGTTTTTGTTGTTATTGTTTTGCAGATAGGGTTTCCTGTACTGGGATGGCCTTAAAATTGCTATGTATGTAACCATTAATGACACTGAGTGCTGATCCTTGTCCTCTATAATAGGCATAACCTATTGTACATGACCGGTTTACTACATAACAATTTTTTATTAGAATTGTTTGTCTTGAAACTCTTCTCATTCTACTTATCAATAAAGCTCTAGAAACTAATAAAAGTCTCAGTAAATACACAATAATCTTATGCATCATGATCATCAAGCGGTCCTATTTTTCCTTCAAAAATATTTCTTATAAGTATGTTATTTAAAAATTAATATACATTTGGTAATAATATTAAAGATCATAGCTTTCCTAAATATGTCCAGCTCATGTGGGTTGTAAAATATAGTTCTTTGTATAGTATTTCATAATTATGATGGTACTTGGAAATTTTAGTAGAAAATTTTGATAAGCATCTGATAGTAAAAGAAGACATAAAATAATTATATTTACAGAAGAAGTCTAAAAGTTTCATGAGCTATATAATTTGTTGCTTGTAGAATGTACTGGAAAAATTATGATTTCTTAGACTGATTTCTAGGAAATCTTGATTTTTAAACTTAACATTTAAATTCTAAGGGTGTGGAAAACAGAACACCCTTACTGAAGGCCTGAGTGACTGTGTGCTGTTTTACATGTTCACAACCATGTGAAGTCCAAAGCTTCAGCCCCAAGGAGGGGCAATGTCTTCCTTGGAGGCCTGAGTGTGAATGTTGAAAGTGTGTCCAAAAAACTCCCTCACAACTTTCTCTTTTGCATCTTTCATGCCTGGAGACTGTTACCTAAAGATACTGCACTAACATATTTACTCAACCTGTCTTCTTGGTCAATCTGTAGACCATAAACAACACTTCTTGTTTATCTTTGGGTAATAACACTATCTTCTTGTTCAGTTGTATACAACAACCTTCCACACTGTTAAACTGTGTATAATCAACATGCTCAGCTACAAAGGTAACACTGTTTCTCCACCAGGGACCAGTTCACTCAGTATCAATTGTTTTATTCATTTGCATGTCTGTCTTTTCTTCATTACTTTATCACTCTAGTCAGGCCCACACCTGGAGCTGTGCAAGGATGGAGTACAAAAAGAGAGACTGAAAAAAATATGTCCTACCAGGCATTCCCAACAGTTTTGACTTGAGGATGAGATGCTGTCATCTACAATGTTCGCATTCTAGAAATACAACTGAGTTAAGAAAACAGAGGCCAAAAAACACCCCATCGTAAAAATTTCTCATACTCTTAACACTTTTTGTTTCCTCCATTTGTAGATATCCTTGTCTGTGCATGGTTGATGGTCTGTTGGTAATAGCTTGGGCTTGCCTATTAATATTCCACCTTCAACTGAACTATTGCTCTTTAATTGTGATACAATAATGAGAGATTTATGAATGAGAGGAGCTCTTGGTAACTGTTTCTACACTGAGAACATGTCTCCTGCCCTCATTAACAAGCTCTAAGGTGTTTTAAAGATCTACGGCTCTTGTCTGTGAAAAATAACATGTAAGAATATATAAACTATAGAGAAGCCTCTCTATTCATGTCTAATTTCCTGAAGTTTGTTTTCAGTCATTTTTTTCCATCATATTTGAGATAGAACTAATGGTAATTTCACTGTATTTTTTCTTTGTTTTAAATGGATTAAAACCCCAGTAAACACATGTCTAAGTCTCATGTAATATTATGCTTTTCTCCAAAGTCAGATTACATATTTGGAAACTAAACATGGTGGGGAAAAAATGGCCAATGAAATTTTAGATAAATTGCCTTAGGAATAAAATGGTGTGTTTGAGTCAATGTTCATTATCAGACTATGGCATTTCAAATTAGAAATATGATTTTATTTTTGTTATTAAATTTATTATAAGAACATAGTAGAGATAGGTAGGAATGGGATGTATTTTATACATATATTTTTGTCTACATGGAGACATAAATGTGTTCCCTTTTGATACTTTTCTTACATTTTTATTTCCTAACAACATAATAGACAAGATATTTCAGATATATTCAATAGAAGCTACTATTTACAGTGAATTAAGTTTTCAAAGTTTAAGACAATGAACATAACACACAGCCTTTGAAACTTCCTTTCTACTGTTCTGAAACTAGATATTTAAAGATGTATAACGGTGAAGTATAATTTTTTAAAATCACAATTAGATCAGCTGTTACTACTAATATGAAAAATGAAGTATTTCTTTAAGACAAGATTTCACTAGACTTTGATGGGTTAGATCCAACTATGCAGACCAGTTTAACCTCAAACTCACAAAGCAGCTCCTACTTCTTCCTCCATGGTGGTAGAATTATAGGCCTGTTAGATCATGCCTGGCTCTTTAATTTCTCTTAAGCAGAAATTCTTCTACATATTCATATATCAATCCATAACATTTGAAGTATTACTTTTATTTATTTATTTATTTTTGACAAAATGAGAATTTATTGAAATACATGGTAAAAAGGCAGCAGATAAATGCCCAAAGAGGAAGCCTGCTGCTGAGAGGGAGAGAGAGGGTTTTTGGTTTTTGTGTGTGTGGTTTTTTTTTTTTTTTTTTTTTTTTTTTTGCTTTTGAGACTCGGTTTCTCTGTGTAGCTTTGTGCCTTTCCTAGAACTCACTCTGTAGCCCAGCTTGGCCTCGAACTCACTCCACCTGCCTCTGCCTCCCGAGTGCTGGAATTAAAGGCGTGTGCCACCACCACACCACCACCACCACCACCACCACCACCACCACTGAGCTTTTTTTAATAACAGTTGAGAGGGTGTGTTTGGGGAAGGAGTTACTCTGCCTTGTCCTCATGGCCTCTGTGACTGCTAAAGTTAGGTTTTAAATTTAAGTTACTGTACTTAGGAGATCTGTTTAGAAATGTCTCTAACCTGTGCGACCCACTTGCCCAAGGACAGATAACTTCCTGGAATGCTGGGGACTGTTCTTGTAAGACAACAAACTATGCAATTTTAAGAAGTATTACTTTTAATAAGTAAAAGAGTACAATAAATGAGAAGAAAAATTAAAATGTGGGGAAACTGAACATTAATACCTTTTGTACTAACATCTATCTTGGATTCTTTCTTACTAGTATAAGGATCTTTACTTGATATGAATTTAGTAAGAAGAGGCAGAAGAAATATTATTTAATATAGAAATTATAAACATTTTTATTCCTTACTTAAAATAATTTACATTAAAATGATTTTAATTTGAAAAAGAAAAATATTGTTACTTTGCTTTTGAAGACAAGGTCTCATGTAGCTCAGTCTAGCCTTGAAATAAAGTAGTCAAGAGCAGCCTTGAACCCCTGATGGCTCTATTTTTTTCACAATTGCTGGCATTACAGATATGCATAGGTCATTAACAACAATAACAACAACAACAACAACAAAAACCATACTCTGCCTTGCAAGACAATTTTGTAGCATGATTTGCCTGGCAGTCCCCTGGAGGTAGACTCATAATCCATCCCTGATGCATGAGGGGGCTTTTTGGAGCTCACTACCTATGATGGGGCACTGTGTGCAGTCTTGAAGCAAGGGGAAGGGCTTGGACTGGATGTGCAACCCAATGGGACACCTTGCCTTCTTATGGGAGGGAATGGGGGATCTGTTGGGTGTGTGTGTGGGAAGACTGGGGGGACAGGAGGACGGAAGAGGGGATCTCTGATTGGTGTGTAAAATGAAAAAAAAATTCTTAATAAAAAATGAAAAAAAAAAGAAAAACATCAAAAAACAAGCTTTAAGAACAATACTTGCTATTCGTTTCCTACAATGGTCTATGACCTTCATCAAAATTCTCTCAAAGGTTAAAACAGTCTTATGCATTAAATGTTTGACTAATACTACCAACAATAGTCTGTAACTCAGAGAAAACTAAGGAACTAAATATTTTTTGTTCATTTCTCAGGCCTTTATTTAGTTCCCAGGAGCCAATATTGAGCACTTCAATTTCTGAGGCTTCTAACAACAATGTATCACCTTCGAATTCTAGTTTTACGTTCCGGAATGCTGGTGATTGTCAGGGCATTGTGGTTAGTTCTTAGTTCACACTTTTCTGCGTCATTTTTCTCCGTTTGCCCTGGGAGATTTTTTTGTGATCTTTCCCTGAAGAATAGTATTCCACTCTTGCAGGATCTTTGCCTCTTCCTGCAGGGCGACTTCCTCGTCCTGCAGAGCCCCATGCTCTTGTCTCAGTGCCTTGTTCTCCTCCCGAAGAGCCTGTTCTTCCTTCCACAAAGCCTGTTCTTCCATCTCCAGAGCAGCTCCCTCCTTTGTGAGGGCCTCCTGCAGCTCCGCAGCCTCTCCATCCCTCATCAGGGCTTTCCCTTCCATCCTGAGAGCCCTCTCCTGGTGCTGGAGAGCCTTGGTCTCTTCATTCAGGGATTTGATCTCCTCACACAGAGCCTTAGCCTCATGCTGGAAGGCTTTCTCTTGCTGCCTGAGAGCTGTGATCTGAGCCTCCATGGCGCGGTTCTGTTGCCAGTAAGACTGGTTTTCTGTGTTCAAGGCACCGAGTTCTTCGCCAGAGAGTTTTTGATTCTCTAAAATCAACCTTTTCACTTTCCGGAGTAGCTGGTTCTGCTGCCTTAGTATATGATTCCTCTCCCTGATGAATTGGTTGTCCATCCGAAATGTTTTATTTTCTCTTTCTAAGGCTTTGTTTTCCCCCCACAGGAATTTGTTGTCTTTTCTCAGAGCCTTGTTTTCATCTCTCAATGCCTTATTTTCTCTACAGAGGTTTTCTTCCACCTCATGAGATTTATGCTTGAATTTGCTTTGATCTCGGGTACAAGAGAAACAAGAAAACAATCGCAGTATTTTCCCTTTATGTATTTGTTTGGATCGAGAGACATCCATTGTTTGTCTGTTCACTACTGATAATCATGACAGAAGATGTCCTAAATCTGTTCATGTAGTCTTGGCTGTCTGTTGAGTTCTTAGTGAGTAATACAGCAGGTACTGTTCAAAGCTTAGCAAGGAGCGCTGGAGGAGAGAAAATGAAAATAGAAATAGAAATAAAAGTTAGTAGATATACTATTAGGTTGATATGGAAATTGAAGTTAAATCTAAACACATATAAATTAGAATTTAATTACTTTTTCTGCATCAGGCATGAAGTTGATCAAGAGTAATGAATTGAATTGTCTGTGTTCACAAGCTAAGCTGTTTTTAAACAATATGAGTGTTTTATATTATCATGTATTAGCTTTATTAATTTATTGTCTTTTTTAAATGTGGTACCTGCTAATATGAAAGCTTACTACTTCAAGAATGTTTCTATTTGAATAACTTCTAGTAAAAAAAAAAAGAAAAAGAAAAGAAAAACTGGAGAAGACATTGAAGATATTTCAAGGCAATATAAACTAATGACTACAGCATTTAGTTAGCTTGCTAGGAAAGGTAGAGATTTGGGTAAGCAGCCTCACTTACATTGCTGTGTTCTCTAAGTCACTTAAAAGCCTGGTCTCTGTTAGTAAAAGAAAATATTCAACATTGTATGTCACCTATAGTGATGTCACTTAGTGTAACACTAGAAATGTCATGGGCTACATATGCTGTCTTTGGCTTTTTAAGGCATGTCTTTTAGGAAAATGAAGAAGCTAATATTTAATGTATTATTTTTAAATTAATGTAACTATAGTGCTAAGTGACACATAAATTATTAAAATTGATTTTAAATTAATTCTTGCAACATTAGTCAAGTATTTTATTATTGGCAAGTATTTGTATTGTTATTAATAAATAATAAACAACTTCAGTAGTTGAGAATATGTTAAAAAATTAAGACCGATGTTGAATCATCTGAGAGAGGTAAATTTGTATGTTAAACAAGTAGACATGTTAACATCTTAATTCTAGAAATCTTAACACAAATTTCATGTTATCATAAAATGAAATTTTAATTCATGCTTATTACTTTCATAGAATTTCCAGAACTGGAACTTTGAGTGATGAGGCACATGTGTAACTACTTTATATAACAGATGCTATGTTTCTAACCTTTACAAAGTTCTCACTGTACTTGTATTTAAACCTTTATATGAAACACAATAAGCCCAAACCACCTTATTCACACTGGAATAAAGATTTGCCAATTTATTTATCTTACCAGAATTACTAGTGTTTTTTTTTAACTTGTGCTTAACAAGGTTGAAATATATTTTTACCTCTGATATTTTCAAACTATCTAATTTAATTCATAAAATAGCTATAAACCATAAAAACAGGGGCTGAGATATTCCGTAAACCTAAAAGAATACATGTGAATGTGAAAGTATGAAGAACCCATCAGGCTGACATTGCAGTGACTTAACTGAGAATGTGTTTAATTGAAATCTGTGGTGGCTTCTTTGTACCACTGGTTCTGTTTCTGTGCTTCTGGCAGCTGTGGGTTCAGGAACTCTCCAAAGCAAGTGCTTAGAACGTTGTGATGTCTGAACTTTTAGGACAAACAGAAAAAAATAAAATAAAGTTACTCTTGTCCTTGATCTAGTGAATAAACTGAATATAGGATTTGGCTTTATTCACTAATTCAATCTTATTAACCTTTTATAGGTTCCTCATGGTTTTATACATATGTATAATGTGGGATAATGGAACAAAGTTAATCTCTCTATGTACATATCTGTATATAAAGTTACATATATATATATACATATATATATATATAAACATTCAGTAAAGAAATCAGCTTAATAGTTCATCAGTTCTTGCAGTGACAAAAAAATAGTCTGAAATCAACTATAACAATTGTGAGAATGGAAACTGCAAGCTAAAGTAACTCATGTACCACAGATCCAAATAATGACAATGGACACATCAAATTTAATGATGAAAAATAAATCATCAAAAACAATCACTTAGAAACTATTCTATCATTAAATTATTAAGTAATAAGATTATTTAGCAGACTTTTAGACAGCATGTCTGTTGGGATCAGAATGGCTCTGACCCCTCTAAGATTGCCTCCACCTCCCCTGTTCTGAGTGTGCTGAGGTCAGGCTGTTCTGCGGATGTTTTGCTGTTTGGTATATCTCCTAGTTTGGCAGCTGTGGCTTCTTGGGGCATACTGACCATTCCTTGACCCTGGGTGCTTGATAAACAATTTTGTTTGTTTCCTCCTGAAAGGGTATATAAGATGGGGAAGAAAGAATAAAAGGGTCCTGATGCTTGCAACTTGACTGATGTGTGCTGTGTTCATATCGACTTCCCTCGCCAGGTTTCGGTCCCAATTGCCATGAAGGCACCGCACAAGTCAACCAAGAAATCATAATTATCATCACATAGGGTAACTCCAAATTTCATATATATAGCTATAATATGAATGAATTATATATATATAATTAGGTAAAAGTAAAGGACAGAATCAAATTAAATTTAGTCATGTTACCCAGAAAAACAAATATCAAATGGTCACACACATATAAGAATGTAAGACAGACCCTTTAGATTTGTGTGCTTAATTTGAAATACCTATGTAACCTGAAATTTTAAAAAGGCCATTGGCAAGGAGGCCTAATGACAGATTTTTTTTAAATTTATTTATTACATATACAGTGTTCTGTCTGCATGTATTCCTGCATGCCAGAAGAGGGCACAGAATCTCATTATGGGTAGTTATGAGCCACCATGTGGTTGCCGGTAATTGGACTCAGAACCTCTGGAAGATCTGCCAGTGCTCTTAACCTCTGAGCCATCTTTCCAGCCCCATGAAGACAGATCTTAAGAGTGGTTGAAATAGTAAAATATAGGTAAGATGGGGCAGGGGAATAATAGAGGAGGAGGTTTAAATGGAAAAAAGGTGTTTTCCCAGATCGCAGGGACCCCCAAAAGACCACCACGGAGACCAAATCCTGCATGTAAAAGCAAAGAGCCTTTATTTCAAGCTCCAGAGCTTGGTCCCTCTGTCCCACACAGCGGTGAGAGGAGAGAGCCCGGAGCTCAGGTGGGGCAGAATTTTTATCATAGTAGATGTTGGGGTGAGGGGATTTCCAGGATCCAGGACCCTGATTGGCTGACAATTGTCTAGGGGTATCTGTAAAACAAAAATAGGTGTGTGTTAGACTCAAGGACATCTGGCCACCTTATCTAATGGTTGGAATGTTGGGGATGTCAAGTACTTCCTCATCCGTGGGTGGATCCCTGGGTAGTATCAGCTTAAGGTTTCTCCTGGATCTTGCCTGCCAGTAAGCCTGTCATAGAACCTGTGTCTAGACCCCTAAGCCTGTCATGGCTGCTGCTATTTTTGGGCCCCTTCAGAAAAGGGCTGGAAGTGTAGGGCAGAGTAAGTGGTAGGAGGAGGGATAAAACTAAGGGTACTTAAAAGGCATGTGGGAAACCTACTAATGTATGCCCATCATATGCACACATTCACAGAGAAAGAGAGACACATAGAGAGGGAGAGAGAGAGAGAGGGAGAGAGAGAGGGAGAGAGGGGGGGAGTGAGAATTAGAGAGGTTTATTCATTGGCTGCTTACTATAAACAAGAACATTTTTCTTCTGTATCACTTCCCTTGTTTCTCCTTCACCTTTACAAGACAAGCTTTTGATACTTTGCTGAAATTATTCCATTTTTGACAAATATATGATTTCTGATCTCTGTAGATCAATTATAAATTTCTGAATTTTTAGTCTTTGACATCCACACTATCCGTTTTGCTCTAAATTCCTTTCTGCTGTGTTATAAAACACTCTGATCAAAATTAGTATAGTTGAGGAAAGGATTCCTGTGAAGACTGCTTCCATGTACTGTCCATCACTAAGGGAAGTCAGAACAAGAACTCAAGCAGGAACTTGAAGCAGAAGCCATGAAGGAAGCTACTTCCTGTCTTGCTCTGATGTTCATGTTTTTCTTTCTTAGAAGGAATCATGATGCTCAGAGTGGGCTGGACCCTCCTATATCAATCAATCATCAAGACAATCTGCCATGGATGTGCCCACAGGCCTGTCTGAATCTGAGCAATCCCTAAACTGAAAGTCCCTTCTCAGGTGACCCCAAGCCTCTTGAACTTCTTTCACCCTTATTAACCTCTTTGTGTTTTCCTTCTTCAGCTCACACTTAGGCAACTATGCTGGTGAAACTTCATGGGTGTCGCTTCCGAGATTCTAGAAGACACAATCTCACAGCTAATTCACTGTAAGGTGAAGGCTTACATGTTTGAAATATCCATAAATTTCAGCTTTCCCATAACAAATATTGGCAGAAAGTTCAGACAAAAAAAATTTAAAGAGATTATAAGAGACTAATGTTCATTTTCTTCTTCTTCCTTTTCTTCTTTTTCCTAAAGCCAAATCTTTATTTCATCTCTATGTCCTTAGAAAATGCTGAGCTTGTGAAGTAAGCAGTTAAAGCATGCATGCAAAAGCCACCTGGGCCAGCTCACGTGCAAGCATTAGCTTGCTGGGTCAGAAGTAATCTACCCTCTGCAGAAGGCAGGCTGCAGTCTCCAGACCTTTTGCTTGCTAAGCCCCCAACAGTTGGTTATTGCTGGTCAGATCTCAGCTGGGTTCTGAGAGTAGCTAAGACACACAAGTATGTCTTGGGGAGCACTGCAATGTCTAAAATGGCTCCTTGTAAGCATTTCTGAGATCCATGTGTTTGCTGAGTGGATAACCTCTGCTTCTCTTGGCAGTATAAATGCATTTTTAAGTTTCTACAGTCTCACAGTATTCACTTAAGATATCTCTTTTAGGCCTCAAGATACATTCATGTGTAAAAATACCATCTGAATAGACTGTAGCCACAACCTAAAACCTAAGACACGATTCCAAACCTTCTATATGTGCAGGTATAGTGTACAGGTATAGCCTACGTTGTTACTACTGATTGTTCCTGCCTTGTGAATGAGATTTTCTAACCAGTACATTATCTTAAGCCATCACTGAATTTAACAGGACAAAATTACAGATGTCCAAATGACATACAGTACCCACATAACATGTAGTCATTTTTTTTTTTTTTTTCTGAGACAGGATTTCTCTGTGTAGTTTTGGTGCCTGTGCTGGATCTCGCTCTGTAGACCAGGCTGGCCTCAAACTCACAGAGATCTGCCTGGTTCTGCCTCTCGAGTGCTGGGACTAAAAGCATGCACCACCACTGCCCGGCTAATGTAGTCGAATGTTGATGGGTACTATTAATACAGTGTGTAAGAGCAGTAGACTGCACACCTTTGAGATAGATCACTCCAGTTTTCCCAAGTAGAATGCTTAAACTTCCCTCAAGAAAAGAAGGTAGGCTGAGGAGTATGATAATAGATGTGGATAAGAAACTCTTTAGAACCCTGTCCTTGAGGGAAATGACTGACGGAATTGTATTCGGTAACAGGAATGAGAGAACCTTGTTCTACAAGAGTCGCTATTAAGAGCACTAAGGCCGTCCTAAGAGGCTTAGCGGGAGAAAGAAACCCATTTGGCATTGTTTTAATGTTTCCACAGGCCAATCAACAGCAGCCTTTCATTGTGTTACGTGTTTGGAAAAGTTGACACTGACCGAGGTTGTGAAGACAAGGCAAGACATGTTCTGAAGAGATCATCGCTTTCAACCTCCAGGTCCCATGACTGTCTTTCAAACAACAACACTGAAACCTATAACTACTAAAATCAGCCACTTAATTTTTACTTATCTTCAAAGGACCATTTCCTAAAGTTAATGAAAACAAAATACAATCACAATGATGGTTTGTTTAAGTGATGATCTAATTACTTTATAGAAAATTACCTTCCTTCCTTAAAACAGCGTGAAGCTGCCAAACCCACTGCTGTAGTGAGGAGCCTCATGCTATTTGGCTTCTGGGCTCCATCTGTGTCTGCCTGCATCTGCTTTCATCCTCCTCAAACTCCTCTCCAAAGGAGCACAGAGAATCTGCAATTCATGTCAGGGCAGCCAGCCAGATTAGAAGCTGCCAACAACATCAGGTTTTGTGAGAAGAATTAAGTTACTTAAGCATTCTCTGCAGCATAGCCATAGTGCTGCTGGATGCAAGCTTATGCCGCTTGAGTCTGTATTTCCACCCTGCTGCGAAAAGATAATTTAGAAGTGACAGAGTGAGGTTATGATGTGATTTGGACATTTTACAGTGACCTAACCTTTTCAAATGTTCTTCTCACTGTCTGTTTATGTTGATAGTACATTTTGAAAACGCCCCCTCCCTTTTTGAGGCTGTTGTTGAAGGGTTTTAACAGGCCCAAACGTGTAAACATGGTGCCAGCTGGTCCTGCCCTTCCCCCTTCTCTTTCTGAAAAACCACTAGAGCCCCTGCTGGACTCCTTATTTGGCCATTTTCTCATGTCTGACTCATCTCTGAGGCTGACCACCAAGGTCCAGCTGTCCAAATTCCTTATTTGGCTACAATGACCAATGAGTTTAATCAGGATTTACTAAATCATCCTAGCAAGGACTCCCATTTTTCTCCGTAAAACCTATTTCTACAGAGCTTCTTGCTGCTGTTTCTGCCCGATTCAGATTCAGCTACCCTGTCTTTCCAGCTTAATGAAAGATTGCTTTGTGTTGGAAATTGGTGTGTAAGTGTCATCTGTGCTTAATCCGTGGTCCAGAAGGGAGCACCCCAGGATTCATGGTGCCTTTCATTCACAACACAATAACTTGGGGGACAGAATTTGAAAAGGGGCACAAATTACGTTCATATGCGTTTTGTGGGTCTAAGATCATCATCAGTATTCCATTTCCCTAGACAGCTAAAGTGATGACATGTTTCTTTCTGTTTATCTGTGTCCTTGAGCTGTTTTTACTCCCTGCCTTGAAAATGATTTTAGATTAATTTGCGCTTTAAAAAAATCTAAAATTTGAGAATATAAATGATAAGAAATAATTGCATCCTTAAATATGTATTTGGAGGTGTAAATCAGAAAATACACATGAAATATTTTTAAAAATATTAAATAGTTGCAAGTATTATGCAAGACACTGTTGCAGCCTTATCCTTCAATGTAACATAACACATAGTAATTGGAAAGAGGCGAGAAATGATCTTGGGCCCTTTCTTGGAGGCAGTTTCTTAATTGTTCTTTGATTTAGGAGCACCCAGTCCACTGAGGAGTGGACATGAGCTGCAGGACATAAACAAGACAGGGACCAAGCCTGTAAGTAGCATTCCTCCAAGATTGCTGCCTTGAATTCCTGCCTGTACTTCACTTGATAAAGGAGTATATCCTAAAAGCCAAATTAAGACCTTTCCTTCCACGGGTTGGTTGTGATCAGTGCTGTATGGAACGAAAAAGAAAGGAAACTAAGGCAGACTCTTTTCAACTCTCCTCTTTAAGTGAGAAACATTAACTGGAAGACATACATTTGAAATGTTTATGATATTTTTGTACTGTGAAAAAGTTTTCATAATCTGTGTGAGCCCTGTTATGCCCAGATTATGGGGACCCCCAAAAGACCACCACAGAGACCGAATCCGGTATGTAAAATCAATGGGCCTTTATTTTCAAGCTCAGAGCTTGGATTTTCTGTTGGAGGCAGCGGTGAGAACAGAGAGCTCAGAGCCCAGGCAATGTGGGGTTTTTAATCATAACAGAGGTTGGGGTGAGGCGATTTCCGGTTGGCTGACGTTTGTCTAGGGGTATAGAGAATGTTGGAAATGTCAGGTATTTCCTCTTGGATGCAAGCCCCACTGGGTGAGGTCAGTTTATGGCTTTTCCTGGGTCCAGGTGTTGTCTGCCAGAAGCTGTGTCTAAGCCTCTAAGCCTGTCATGGCAGCGGTGTGGTCAAGCTGTTTTGGGGCCCTTCCACAGTCTACGGTTACTTCTTAAAAATAAAGTTCATAAATTTGCATCAAAATTCTATCTAGTTACAGAAAGAATATTTTTGTAACTATTCAAGTGAGTTGGCTACTAAAGTATGATCAGATGGATGCCTAGGATTTTGATGATTGTATGACTCTATTGTAGAATGGGAGCTCCACAATTGGCTGCGCTGTGGGCTTTAAATTCCTGGAAGCATTAGTTCATGCTACATAGAGCATGGAATATTCCATTTTTTTACTTGACCACTAAGTATTTCCAGTTACTTTCCCATTGTGTGTTTTGTTATAAACATAAAACTTCAAGACACTGAAGAGAAAAAGAAACCACCAATTAAGAGCAAAAAAAAAAAAAAGTGACAAAATCATCCACAACCACTAAATTTTAAAAAGTAAGAAAAATGATTTTATTATACTTTTCAGTTAGTATAATGAATTGATACCATGAATTTTGAGTGAGATGTTTTTTGCTAGCTGTATCATTCAGGGGCTCCCTCAAATCTTCAGTCATTTTCATAGTGTAACTGTGAATGAAAGGCATTTGACTATTGCTTTATATACACTAATGATTATCATATGCATCTTCTTGGGTTTTTTTTTTAATTAAATTTCACACCATTTATTTATCTTCCTTGGAAATTTGTAACAGAGATCATAAATGTTACTGCCAAGTAAAACTATTAATATTAATCAATATAATCATTATTTTTGGCCAATGACCAATAAATCTTCTGGCCCACAGTGCTAGAAATTCTGACATGGTAGTATGGATTTCTTTTTCAAAGTTTCAGTCAAACAAAGACGTTGTACACTGTGTTTGAGCATTTCTAAATAGTCTTTCTAAATTATTTCCATCCTGTATATTCCTAGGGTAGAGATCTAGAAAGAATTCTTCATAGCACTAATCAGTCTCTTGTTCCCTTAATATTTATTAACAGTCACTATACCAGTTGGTCTAGAATTGTACAAAATTAAAGACTCCAGTTTTCATATTTAAGTCACAGTGAGGTTTTAGACTAAAGGTGAGTGTGATTCAAAATCAATTTATTAGAGGAATTTAAATAAAGATTAGTTGTAATAATATATAAGGCCATTCTCAGCCTTCCATCCTTATGGAGCTTTGATGGACAAGTACGAACAATGTGTATATTCTCTTTCTTTTGAAACCTATGCATGTGTCTCTTTCTTGTCTCTGGGTATATGCTGCTTGTGGCTTTTCACTTTTTTATTTTCTTGTTCTTCTTCTTCTTTTTTTTTTTTTTTAATTTCCCTGTATGCTTTCTAAAGAGTGATAGAAAGACACAGAGGATTGGATGGATGGCTGGGGTGGTAGGGAAGATCTGGGAAGAGATAGAGGAATGGATAATCATTATCAGAATATATTGCATGAATTTTCATTAAAAGTGTGAGTAAAATTCACTGGTAGGAAACTGTACAGTAGAACTAACAGATTTCCTTTACTTACATTTATTTGTTTGTTTGTTTAGATAGGCTTCTTAGATAGGCCCTGGGTAGCCTGTTACTCAATAAGACCAGACTGGAAACTGCTATTGTAATTTTCCTATCTCTGACTACTGGGTGCTGAACTGACTGACATATAATACCTTATCAGGATCAAAACTGGCAGGTTTATGGTATTCATATATGTTAGCACACCTGTGGTAGAGAAAGGAACATGTGTCTATCATACTTGTAAATTACATCAAAATATGAAGGGTTGAAAAATGGAGAGACAATGTTAACAAATGAAAGAAAAGTTTACAATTTATAGTAAAAATAAAAAATGCCTTCAGTATAGCATCGGCATAATTGGAAGGACTTTGAAGATAAGTGAATCCAACATTCTCCCTTCATGGGAGGGGACCTGGTGGACATTCACTGAGCATCTTGCTTAGGGTCACGTAACTGGTCAGCCACAGAACCTTCAAACATCCCAATTCTCCCACAGAGAGAACAGACCATTTCTTGGGATGTCATAGCAATATTTATTTTGGTGGAGAAAAATATTTTTTTTTTCAAATGGTTAAAATTCTGCTGAGACCTTCCAACCTGAATTATTTGTTTCCTTGTTTCTACGTCAATCAGAACAAGAAAGTTCTTTTGCTATTTGCCTTCAACAATCCCTGTCAGACTTTTCCTCCAGGCAGGAAACCCAGGGACTCACAGTACATTTGTGTGATACAACGTGTTGGTTTATGGTTCTGAGATTGTCAACCTAATCCTCTGTCTTACATATTAGACATTTCTATAAAAAAGGGAAGAAGTAACAGAGGCAGCAATGGGGAGGAAATGTACTTATAAGAGGGAGCCAGTCACAGGAGATGAGTGGTGTGAAGAGGGTGCAGTCTGAAAAGCAAAGCACATAGGACATTCTTCATTTTTTAAAATTTATTTATTTTATTATTAAGAAATTTTATGTTCACTTTACATACCAACCACAGACCCCCTCTCTTCCCTCTTCCCACCTCCCAGCCTTCCCCTCCCCCAACCCACGCACCCAGCCCCAAATTTTCCAAGTCAAGGTCTCCCATGGAGAGTCAGCAGAGCCTGGCACACTCAGCTGAGGCAGGCCCAAGCCCCTCTCTCCTGCACTAAGGCTGTGCAAGGTGTCACACCCTAGGCACTGGGCTCCAAAAAACCTGCCCATGCACCATGGATGGATCCCTATCCCCCTGTGTGGAGGTCCCAAAAACAGTTCAAGTTAAACAAACGTCTCCTGTATCCAGAGTGTCTACTCTAGTCCTGTGGAGGCTCCACAGTTATTAGTCCACAATTCATGGGTTTCCACTAGTGTGGCTGATCGTCTCTGCATGTTTTCCCGTCATGATCTCAAAACATTCTTATATGAATCAAATGTGAGGTCTGCTTTTAGGTAGGAATGTAAACAGAAGTTCTAGAAATGTTCATGCATGCACACACACACACACACACACACACACACACACACACACACGCACACACACATCATACATTTAACTTTCAATAATTGTAGCAGTTTTAGAATGCTGCCTAACCAGACTAATTGCAACTGCTATTGGTCTATCTTTACCCTATTAACAATATTCTTTGCATACCTCTGTGTCTGATGAAACATCCTTGTTACTATCAGGCAAACCCTTCTGGAATATATTAACAGAATATTAGTGTCGACCAACTAAATGGTTAACAGTGCTATAGATACATCTGAAGTCTATATCAGAAATTCACCTATAACCTGATATTTCTATCAACATTCGAAAACTGTCTTCTTGATTTATGGTTTTCTTTGTCCGGTTACTGTAAAGTTTATGAAAATGTTATAGCACTGGAACATGTATTTGGAGTAACTCATATCTTGGCTCCAGAATAAATTATGTGTTAGCCCCTTTGAAGTGAGAATTCTGTTCTTACAATTAGAACAACTAACAGAGACATTGCAGTATCAAACAGGAAAAATCCAGAGCATGCCATTAATGAAGATGACTCTGAAGACAGTGGGCAAATGACACATGAGGATGGCTGAGAA